AGACCTGGATGTTGCCGGTATGGTAAATATATATATATATATATATATATATATATATATATATGTATGTATATATATATATATATATAGTATTAATTTAGGAGACTGAAGGCAAAATTGATGATTTTCAGTGGTTTGCTGATAGAAAAGCATTTAAGTTTTATGGTAGAGTGCTCAATATCCGAGAAAGAGCATTAATAGATTTAAAAGGAAAAAGTTTCTTTCATTTAACTCAACTGTTGTTCCTTCATGATGACTTCAAAGTTTCATGGTTGCATCAATGGTGAAACTAAAGAATGAAACTCATCTGAATATTTGTCATGGAAATAGCAATAGAAGAATGATGGTGTGTCTGTGGAAAAGAGGTTGCAAATTCGATAATATCAGAACAAGACTGTGTAAACAATTTTGATGTCTGCCAAGTTTGGAAAGTGAGGATTGAGTAGATCCAGCCCCGCAATATTCCAATTTTGGTCTAATCTCACGATTGTAAAGATAAAGCAGAGTAATTACTAATGGGACCCTGGAGCAGGTCTTAAGTATGTTAGTTTTTTTAAAAAGAATTTCCAAAATGTTTACAGTTTTTAACAGTGTTCAATTTACAACGCTAAACAAAACTCTTTAGATCTGTCAGATTTGTTATTGATTCTTTGACCATAGTCTTATAGAATTATGAATTTCTTTGTCCTTTTTTAAATCTATGACTTTTGATAACTTCACTACTTGGATGTAAATCCAATTACAACATTGATATTATTAAATAGACTGGTCCACTTGTAAAAACCATGGAAAAACGTTTTTTTGGTAGGTAGAATATTTTTTATAGATTAACATGCACTAGACCTTCTTGAAACCACAGTATTTGTCAGAATTAAAAAAAAAATATTGATTTTTTTTTTTTTTTTTTTTTCAATTTAGAAGTGGGGAGGTCCAGGTCATAATAAAATTACAGTGTCAAAATCGATCCCTGACTTTTTACACTCATCTAGACATAGGGGAACTTTTTTCAGAAGTACATGCACAAACATTGAGGAATAATAATTATTTCTCGTAAATGAAGAATAAATGCATATATACTTTTAGCAATATATCCATTTGTTCTTTAATTAAAAGAAATCTTTTTGTAAAAATGTAAAAGAAAACATTTCAAGTGACGGAACAATTGCTTGTTTATTGGACTGCTCTTTAATGACAAAAATCTTTTTGGAAAAAAAAAGAAAGAAAGAAAAAATCTATTTTGTCAGATAAATGCTTGCTACTAAAATATTTTCTGAGAAAGAAAGACAGTATGAATAAAGATAAAAAGAAAACTTATCTTTGGCAAAGTGTTTCGTCCTCTGACAGATTTTATCAAGGCAAATGTTTTGCTCTTGTCTATATTCATATTGTAGTTATATCTGAAACTTTTTACACATAAAAATTTATAAAGGGTGTTTCATTAAGACAGATCAAAGTCAGCAGTAAATAAATCGGTGTTATTGGTGAAAATTTATTTCTCTATTGGATCATTTTAAGTCATGGCAATTATATGTAAAAAAAATATCGCCTACCTAGGTTTCACCTAAATGGATCTTCATGGTAAGCTTACCCTGAAGAACCATTTAGGTGAAACCTAGGTAGGTAGTTCTTGGCTCTTTAGGATTTATTTTATTTACCTTTTCTCTACTTGCATATTGAGCACTACGTTTTATCTTAGTTACTTGTTTGGGTTTTTTTTTTCTTTGAACTGGAAATTTAAGGAACTGGATGATTTTTTCACCTTGTTTGGATGCTTCTGGTTCTTTCTTTTTTTTTTTCAAATTGTTTCCTCAATTTGTTTTGATATACTGGCAAATTGTGCCATTTAGATTTTTACCAACCAAGTATAATTATTAGTATCATATATATATATATATATATATATATAAAAGATGACTGACAAGGTACTGCAATTAAGCTTTTCATTTAACTTTTCTTGTGTTCATACAAGTGTTTTCTATCCTGAACAAAAAGTGCGCAAAAACTGTCCAGAAGTTCTGCATTTCTGAGTGTTTCGGCTATACTTTTAGCCATTATCAAGTGTGATTTGATTTTACTTTTAACAAATGTATGGGTTGTGTTATATAGGGATGTATCTAGAGTTATAGGGATGTTTTATTTTCCAAATACAGTCAGCACATTATGGCCGTGTTCATAATTAATATTATTGAGTGTTGGATTTCTCTTTTTTATTAGGGCTATATATATATATATATATATATATATATATATATGAATCATTCCATGTCCAATCAACAAGGGTCTGACCATCACAAAAAAAAAGGTGAATTTTTGGTTTAAAGGTCAAATAAGATAATTTGACTGTGATCTTAAACTTTGACCTTTTAATTTCTCAAAAAAAAAGTATCTTTTTTTTTAAAAAATTTGATAAATTTGTCTGCTTTATAGCAAGATATTTACAAAATTTTGTGTTGGACCTTTGTCTGAGTTACAATGGTTTTACTGAGTTGGGCCAAATTTAAGATGGTGGATTTTGGTATTTGCCACTATATGTTAACATTTTCATATCTCCCAATATCTTGAGAAAGCTCTTTGAATGCTTATTAATATTCACATAATAACTATGAGCATAAAATCAACAGAATTTGTGTTATTTGTGGTTAAATGTTGACCAATTCAGTGGAAAATAATATTTTGGGTTTTGTTTACATTTTTATTATAATACATATATTTTATATATATATATATATATATATATATGAAAATGGGACATAATGAAAATAATTATTTAAAAAGTCTCATGAATTAATGTTAAGATAACAAAATAATATGCATCAAATGATGTTAATGGCTAACAAATTTTTGTTAACACAGTACACTAAATACACAAAACAATCAAGCTTTCAGTAGTTTTATATATATTTAAAAAATTAAGTTTTGATCTGAAAAAGTGCTACATTAAAATGAATATTTAAAAAAAATATTCCTAACATTTACAAAGAGATTAAGAAGCAAATTTATTTTTCTTGTTGGAATACATGTTTAAATAGAAAATAAAAATTTACATATGCAAACTCTTACTTTTTTTTTACTCAAATTTTTTGTGGTGACCAACCTTAATTGTATCTCTTTATTTAAGGTTATTTAAATAAATTCTCTTTCCTAAAGTATTTGAAGCTTTTTCCATCTCAATTTTCAAAATTTTATAAGTTCTTCCAGTGTCAGTTCTTGGATCAGCTAAACTAAGAATATCAGAATAATTTAAAATTAATATATCTGGATGTAATGGATAACAGAAAGATGGGGAAGGGATCTTCGGTTGTAAAAATGTCAATTTTACCTCATCATTATCAGGATATTTTTCAAGCACACATCCTAACTAACAATTCCTATCATAGATTGCTGTAACAAATCCCTTAATGTTTTCAAGTTCTATATTATCCTATTTTATAATTTTAACTATTTTTCTTTCTTCCTGAATTGACACAGTTTTTACTTCTACCTCTTCCTGAGATACAGGAATAAAACTATGTAGTTTTTGAATTCCTGTAATTGAGGCATTTTTTTTTAATCTATTTCTGCTTCATTTGTCCATTCATTTGTTGAGAAATGCAAAGTATTTATGCCTGAAATGTTTTTTCTTGTAGAATCAAACGACTGTCTTGGCATCATTATTTGTTCATTGTAGTGTCGCTGCAGGTTTGCTTTTGCTGCTAACAGTGCCATCTAACTCATCACATGGTCCTTTCCCATGAGATGTAGCAAAAAAAGTGCCACTCTGCATCAATACCAAAGTCAGTCTTATGGTTACACAAATTGATAACATTTTTATAATGTGAAGTGGCACAATCAGACAAATAGATTAGATTTTTTATTTTAAAATTAAGATACAAGTTTTCTCTGAAATAAATGGACAGCTACTGTGTCATGTTTGAAACAATCTGACATAATTACAATATTAATATGTACCAACTCTGTCATTTCTGTAATAAGACAAATGGATGTAATTTGACTTGAGAATTATTCCAGTGGAAGCAATGTGCATCATCCTGTAAAATAAATGGATAATTCTCAGTAAAATCTGCAATGAAGGACTTTACCAAACATCAAAGAACTTTTCTTATTAGAACAAAATTTTGATTGTTCTTTGGCAATGAAATTATGCATTTTCAAGATTTGAAACCCTATGCAAAAAAGTTTCAATATATTCTTCTGTAGATTATGATACAGTTTGCAGCATGGTTCTGTCAATTGATAGCCACTGTTTGTAGATAAAATCTTCAATTAAATTTTTACTTAAAATTTCTTCTTTATATAAAACAGAATCCTCCATCAAATTGCTACAAGTTGAGCAGTCACTTAAGTAGCTGTTAAAGGTTGCTTCATTGCATGTAACAGCTGCTATTATTTTGTGATAATCAGTTAAATTATATTGTTTATCTTGAGTCAGTGTACCAAGATAAGCCCCCACAATCATCATTCATATTTTGGTGAATTGTACAAACACAGACATTGTATTCCAGTACCACCTTTTGCAAATTTTGGAAACTAATTCTTCTTTGATTTTTTTATTTAAATAATTAATATGCCTCTTTCAGGTTACAATGAGTCTGGTGCCAAGTGAAATAGAATTATGCCTTAGGAGTTGCCAACACAATATAACTGAAGATATTGTGGCTCTTCATTTGTTAGTGGCTGTGGGGATCCAGTCCTATGGTACACCTGACCCTGCACTTTAAAAGTGGGCACAAAATCTCCTATCTTAATAATGTTAACCCCGAATGAAGTCATTTGAAAAGCACAGTTGTTCTTCCTAATGTTTTCCAAAAAGTGTTTTGACTTTGAGTGGTGCCTGAAAGAAGAAGCTTCAAAGGCTGTGATGGATCTCCCAATAATGGTATCTTGACTTTGCCACTTGAACAACACATTCCAAGAATCTCTCCTTCAAACTTCTTGGCTTCACATTTACCACAGACTTTAGATATAGAGCCTATTGTCACTTTCTTTTCAGAAGTGTATTCATGTTTCAGTTGATAGTTATAGGCAGCACAGTGCCACTGTTCCCAGGTAAGGGTAGCTCTTCTCTGTTTCTTAATTCTGCCAACCTGCTTCCTTTCTTACCTTTGTTCAGGAGTTTCAATTGATCTGTGAGCAGCCCTCCAGGTTTTATCAGTTTGTAGTTTTTCATCTCTTTGCTCAGAAGTCTCTCCTACCCTGCTAGCAGCAGACCTAGCTCTATGAAATTGTAATCTTTCCTGTTTTTGCTCAAGAGTCTCAACTGCCCTGCTAACAGTCCTCTTAACTCTAGCAGATAGAAGTCTTTCCTGTCTTTGCTCAAGAGTCTCAGCTACTCTGCGATCAGCAGACCTAGCTCTGGCTTCCCAAAGCCTATCCTTTCTTTCTTTTGTTCTTGCAGTCTTTCTTCCTTTTGTTCTTGCAGTCTTTCTTCCTTTTGTTCTTGCAGTCTTTCTTCCTTTTGTTCTTGCAGTCTTTTTTTCTTTTGTTCTTGCAGTCTTTCTTCCTTTTGTTCTTGCAGTCTTTCTTTTTTTTTGTTCTTGCAGTCTTTCTTCCTTTTGTTCTTGCAGTCTTTCTTCCTTTTGTTCTTGCAGTCTTTCTTCCTTTTGTTCTTGCAGTCTTTCTTCCTTTTTGTTCTTGCAGTCTTTTTTTTTTTGTTCTTTTCTTTCTTCCTTTTGTTCTTGCAGTCTTTCTTTTTTTTTGTTCTTGCAGTCTTTCTTCCTTTTGTTCTTGCAGTCTTTCTTTCTTTTGTTCTTGCAGTCTTTCTTCCTTTTGTTCTGATATTTCAACTGCCTGATGTAATGAATTTCATGCAATTTCAGGCTGCAAATATTTTTCTCTCTGTGTTTCGGTATCCTCCATAGTTCTCCTTAGAGAACACTTTGCATTTGCTTTCTCTTTAGTTGTTAAAAGTCTTATTTGATGTTGTTTTATAGTGTCATGTGACTTCAGGGTTAAAATGAACAGTTGGTTTATCCACACCAAGAAGATTAATGATGGATGGTAATGACAAGGAATATTTAGCTTTCTTGGATAGTTGAAATAAAGTTCTTTGAAATTCCAAGTGATTCATTAAAGCTGATAACATAATCAATAAATAATTTGACACTGGCACAAATCTGAACGCTGCATGTGTGAACAGATATTAAATTTTTTACATGACTTTAGACACTCTTCTCTTGTTAATTTAATTCTCCATATTTTAAATCAAAAAATATTTCACATAGGATCGCTATTTTTTCTTTCTTTTTCTAGGCTTAACTGCTAATTCTTTTAAAAACAACATTTTCATTGGTCCAAAGAAAATTTCACATAGGCTTGTGAATATGTTTTGTCTTTTTCTTCAGCTCACCTGTAAATCTCTTTGAACTCAAAGTTTTCATTGGTTCAAAGACAATTTCACACAAGCTCACAAATTTCTTTCCATCTTTTTCTCATTTTGCCCAAATTTGAAAGGAGTGGGTAAAGGGAGTTATTATTTTGTACTCACATTTAGCTTTACTTATGGCAAATGTAGACTAAAAAGTTTTTTTAAACTCCTCTCAGCCAAAATCAGGGTGCAGATTTTATTGAAGTTTTCTGTTTACTGGTCTCCACCAATTTTTCTTTATAAAGACATGCACTTGGTCATTGTATAAACAGACATACAGACACAATCTTTCTTTTATAGATATAGATTACCGACTTTATCCTTTGATGTCAGTTGGAAAGTTAGGAAAGGCAAACACAAACAAATAAAAATGACAACTGGCAAATCTGTGAGAAAAAAAATGTACATTTCAGAATTGTGATTTCCTTTCCATGTAGGCCATTCCATTTTTCTGTCTGTTTTTCCATTTTCACGGAAAATAAGCCTATATATATATATATATATATATATATGGTGGAAATCAATTTATGACTGAGTAAGAACATCTCTTGCACTCAAACTTAGATTTTCAAACATTTTAACTATCATCACTTTGTCACTGATGACATCTCAAATAGTTTTTAACACCTGCAAGAGTCTTGCAATTCTTCCCACATTTGTCGGTCTTTTTGCTGCAGCATGTCTTTCCGGATGCTGGCTGTGGAAATGTGTGAGTCCACTTACTGATCGACACACTTTATGGCAGATTGTACATATATGATCATTGAGGATGTCATATTAGTAGTTGATATCATGATGACTCTGCATATGGCTGAATAGAGACCTACTTTTGAAAAGCAAATGCGGTCACATTGATCACACATAAGAGACTCCTTCAATCTGCTTTCTCAGAGATGGTCAACACCTCTCATATATCTGCCTGCATGTTTTTGTTGTGCATATTCTATTCTGCTGTTCTCAAAATTCTTGACACCAGTAGCAATCAGATTTTTCCGTGTCTGCTGATCTGATGCAAGTTCTTCCCATATATAACCAACTATAAAAGAATGGCTTTAGAAACACCAAACTAGGAGAGAAGAAGTGATTCTGTCCAGGCTTCCTACCATAACCTATTCGTATATCCTAAAATAAGAAGATCCTCTGCTATGTGTTGTATGCCAAGAGCAATTCACCATAAAACACATTGAGAAACTGCCGCAATTTTAATTCAGTCTGTTGAAAATACTACCAAACAGAAAATTTAAAAGAACTTTTTAAAATACTGATCCATTTTACATATTCCAGTTTCTAAGAGAAATTAAACTGATCTCAAAAATATAAATTAAAAAATATGACCATGACTAACAGATTTTAGAATGGACATTAATAAATTAAGTTTTGCTAGTTAGTATAGGTACCTCCACGAGATCGCTAAAAAAAGAGCATAGCATGATGAAAAAGACGCCAAACTTGACGAAAACAAAATTTTATCGTCTAAATGTTTGTTATTCATTAAGAGGAAAGGTCAAAGTATTTTGGGGTATTTTTTTTCCATTTTTTAATCGTTCCTAGCACGTCCGAAATTTTCGTTAAAAATCTAGTTTTTTTTTGAGTCAGCAAAATTGACCATTTTTTTCCATTTTAAAAAAAACTGGAAATCTGACTTTGAAATTTTTTTAAATATCAATTATCATTTTTTCAAAACTTATTTTAAGAAAATCAGAAATTATAATGTTTATTTAAAATATTTTGAACCAAACTTAACTTAGCTTTTGTGCCAAAAAGATGTAATTTGAAAATAAAACAAAGCAGGTCATAAACTTTCGCGTCTCTTGACATGTGATGAATGATATATTTACGAATTCCATGAGGCTAATTTGTTCTACGGAAGGAGAAAAGTGAAATAATTTACATTTACGTGAACAAATTATTTACCCCGTTATTTTTAACGAAAACTTTCAGCGGTCTAATTTTTTTTTTTTTTTTTGTACTTAGCTTTCACCTTTACGTTTATGATGCTTTATGGGAAATATATTGTAAAGAAATTAAAATAAAACTGTTAAGAGTGACATTAAATTTCATATTTCTTAAGAAAGGTATCTAATTAATTTATAGGTACCTTTCTTATGAAATTTTATCAGAATTGTACATAAAATACTATAATTTTATGTACATTTATTACATTCTACTGTTATTTGTATTTGCATTCATTTTATTATTAATTTTGATATTTCATTTATGGAAAAATGTCGTAACTGAGATTAATATAAAAATAAGATCATATAAATTTCATAAGATGATACTGATACTTGTAGGTAACCTTCTCAGTTGAAATTGAAAAATCAAATTAACTTCTCCACACATGTTTTCAAAAAAGTAAAGGCCTTAACAGCGGAGAACAATGCTTAACTCAAATAACGCAACTTAATTATATTCTGGTTGGTCTTCCGTATTTTATAATTACAGCTCGATTATAAGCACAAAATTACATTTCTTAATTACTGGGGATCTTCTGATTAGTCAAAATGATACAATTTACAACGCACTAAAAAAAAGATCTATCTCATAAGGACACTTATGAAAGCCTGATGCGGCTTTTTAACTAATTTTATAATATTTTAACAACTTAAATGTAAAATCTATTATAATTAATGAAATAACAAATAATTGTATTAAAATTCATTTTTCATCGAAAAAATTTTTTTGCTTTCAGAAAATATTGTCCATATTCATAAAAAAACAACTAAAAGCAAATAAAAGCATTTGAAATTAAATAATATCTTTGTTTTATTGAGTTTTGTATGTTACAATTCAGAGCTGATTTTCAGGTACTGGGTATCCAATTAAAAAAAAAAAAACATGATTTGCATTCCTCAAAGCCCTGTGCTTTTAATTATTGTAATCACTAAAACCGATGCGATCGAATTTCTAGCGTTTTCATAAAATTAGTTATGGGGGGGTAATAAATATTTTAAAAAAAAAATATTTCTACCATGACTTTCATAAAAAAAAACATATTTATAATAATTTCGATCATCTGTGAATAGTTCCTGAAAGTTTCATTAACATCCGATAATTATTTCTATTTTTGCACGATTTTTCAAATTAATGTGTGTCATACCAAAAAAACGTGCTAAAAATTGTCTATGTTATTTACTAGTTCCGCTGATACAAATAGAAACAAGGTTTTTTTTAATCAAAATTTAGAATGTTCTAAAAAGAAGGAAAATTTTTTTAAAAATAATTAAAAAAAAACTTTGGTCTTTCCTCTAAATAATAACATAAGCATTTAGACAATAAAATTTTGTTTTCGGCAAGGTTGGCGTCTTTTTCATCAAGCTATGCTCTTTTTTTAGCGATTTCGTGGAGGTACCTAAATTATTGTAATCACGCAAAACCAATAAATAGAATTTCTAGCATTTTCATAAAATTAGTTATTTATTTAATAAATATTTTTAAAAAATATTTCTACCATGACTTTCATAAAAAAAACATATTTATAATAATTTCGATCATTCATGAATAGTTCCTGAAAGTTTCATTAACATCCGATAATTATTTCTACAAAAAAATGTTTTTTTTTTTCAAATTAATGTGTCTCATACCAAAAAATTTATGCTTAAAAATTGTCTGTTATTTACTAGTTCCGCTGATACAAAAAAAAAAAATTTTTTTTAATCAAAATTTAGAATGTTCTAAAAAAGAAGGAAAATTTTTAAAAATAATTAAAAAAAAATTTTTGGTCTTTCCTCTTAATAATAACATAAGCATTTAGACAATAAAATTTAGTTAATTTCAAGGTTAATATTTTTCATCAAGCTATGAGTTTTTTTTTTAGCGATAAAGATGGAGGTACCTAAGTTAGTACTAGGTTAACAAAAAAGAATGCTTACCAAAGCAAGGACATTGTCACAAAATTGTGTGCAGAGGAGCTCCACAATGACAACTCAATACATTGCCATTGTTGGATAGACATTTTACTGACAAATTTCATTAAAATTAGACAAAATATTCTTGAATTGAGGCCATTTTTCAGTTTTTACTGAATTTTTAATAAGAAATTCAGTATTTGTTTTCAATACATATTTTTATATCAATCTGCATATATAAACAAACACTTGCATATTATATGCCAACTTACATGTGAGAAAAATAATAAACATTCATAATAAATTATAACATTAAATAAATTTATATATGTATAACACAACATTAGAACTTTTTTTATAAACAAATATCTTGGATGTTTGGTAATTACTTGATAGGTGAAGAGGCTACATGGGTGTGTCATTGTAAAACATAATCTGTATAACTGGAAAATTGTGTCACATGACTTGATGGTAAATAAATAGATGCATGCTGGTTTGCCGGTGTTACCTATTTTTAAATAAATGTGAGGAAAAAACAAAGTATATATAATAAAAA